AAGGCCCAGAAAGTCAGTCTCAGTTCTTTCCATGATCTAATCCTTTCCTTCAAAAGACACTAAGTTTGTACCAGCTGCTGAAGTATTTCAGGAGAATAGCTATTTCTGCTCTGGTTTATGATGTCTGATGCATCCATGCAGCCACCCAAGAATTAGCATTAGCAGAAATAACAGTAATAAAGAGTTATAATCTGTGTTTGGATTACAATTGCATGGTTTCTAAACAATTCCAGAAATTTCTTTTAACGTAATTTCTGCAGCATAAATTGGGGGCAAACTTATAGGACTGGATGGCCATTCCGCATCTGGTTCCTGTTACTGGGAAGCTGACAGACACCATTTGCTCTGACCATCTGCAGAGAAAAAGGTCCATTTTGTTTCTTCGAAGACAAACCGCTTTTGCTTTCAGCATCTCCAGCGCGAAGTAACACAAGGCACATGTTACTTGCAGAGGAGTGTGGGAATGGTAGTGTTAAAATCGTTCTGTGTAGCACTAAGTCGTGTACTTGACACATGAGGGATACGCTCCTGAGAAGCTGACTGTCTGACGTTAGATATTTGCTGTGCACTAAGGGGCTGTTGCATTTGGTGTGTGTCTCCCTGACTTTCCTGGCATGTATGCTCAGCCCTTTTTGCTAATCGACTCAGATGCCGTGAAAATATCAATCACTTGTCCGCCTTTTCACTTGCAACATCCTAACTGTATTAAAATAGTTCCTCAGTGGGTGCCCAGAGTTAAGGAGGACTACGGAACTCTTTTAAACTACCCTAAATCAGAAGGAAACAAGGGGAGCACCTTAGGTTACTTGTCCCCATGGTGATCTTTGCCAGCTGTTTTTTGTCTGAAGTCCAAATGCTGTGGATGGAGGTGCCCAAGGCTTGGTTGACCTGCAGCCCTGAGTCAGAGGACAAAGCTCTTGCCACATGCCACAATAAGAGCTCCAGATGCCAATGTTGACTGCAGCTTCCAAAGCCGGGCGTGCACTGGAGCTGGTGTTTGGGGCTGCAGTACACAAAGGTATTAAAAGATTATTGGCTTTT